AATATATATTATATTATATTTGTTTTTATCTTTTATCTATATCATGTCTATATTATTTATTATTTTTTTTTTCAACATAAAAAAATTTTTTATTAATTTTCAATTCTCAATTATTTTTTAAGATAATTTTATTTTTTTTTTATTTTTTTAAGATAAAATTTTTGCTTGATTATTGTTTTATTTTAATTATTTAATTTATATTTACTTGAAAATTTTAATTTTTTTTTATATAGATTATTAGCTAATTGCTATTATAATTTCAAAAGTGGGAAAAATTTCAACATGGATGAAAAAACGATAAAATTTAATTTTTTGATTGCGCGCAATTCGAATTCACACTTAAAATGTTATTTTTTGAAATTATACGATAGTAAATATTTTAATTTTCACGCGGATATAAAATAAAGAACTGCACTGTTCTAATCAATCAAAAAGCTGCTAAATCGCAAAAATGAATCAATGCGCATCATGATGCGCATATCATCAGTTTATGATCGAAAATTATAGGTTGCATTTTATCAATTGATATACATAATTATATAAAATTTTTATTGATAGATTATTATATTATGATTATTTAAGCTTATATAATTAGAGATTGTTAATATAATAATTAAGATAATGTTTTAAACTTGTTATCTATGCATATTATTATTTGGAGTTTCGAAAGCGAAATAGTTTTAGAAAATAATAATTTTTGTATGCTAATGAGTAATTAATTGGATTACTTTTATGCGAATGTAGTAAAATTTTAAACATAATTAATAAATATAAATTTCCTATGTTTTTTTATTCAATCATAAATGAAAATAGTTAAATCATTATAATCAATTCATATATACATATTTAATATGTATTCTTACATATTTCTAAGTGTATTTATTCATATATTCGTACGTTATATATCATTTCTATGTGTATATTTGTTTTAACTTTAATGCTCAAAATCTCAAAGCTGAAAACATTTCTTATAATTCAAGTTTTTCAAAAATTTGATTGTTCGTATTTGTATCGTTTCGTTTGTTAAATAATTAAGCATATCTTTTTTTCAATTTGTAATTCGATATATCGAATTACTATGTAGATATTATTTTATTTGAAATTTATGATGATTAAACGCTTTAATTCAAATCTATGACTTAATTATTATATAATACTTATTTTATAGTTATTCTCTTACTTTTTATATTACTATTTTAATATATGTTTGTTCAGTTATTTATTGTATTATTTATTATTGTCATAATTGATAAAAAATATTATTGTTATAATTGAAGAAATATTAATTCTTTTAGAATAATATTTAAATAATTCTTTAAGGATAATTTATTCTTTTTGTTTATTCGTATGTTTTTTAAGATGTTTAATCCGCAGTAACTTCCATGCGGTGACTTGGAAAACATTTATTCGATTATGATTTATTTGATATATAATTTATACATAATCGTATTATACATATATAACTAATAATCGTAATGCAATTATAAAATTATATAAATTATATAATAAATAACATGAACTAATTGGTTGTATGCGCGATTAAATCTTTATATAATTAGTTAAAAAATTTATTTTTATTCATTCTTGAAAGTGTAAAATATAAAAAAACAAAAATAGGATAAAATTAAAAACCATCTCAAGAATACCGCACATGAAACACACAGAAAGAACAAAATATAATGAAAGATAAAAATGTGCCATCAACGCCATCTCTTTAATATTAAAAACATTTTCTCAAAAGGAGTATATTTTAGAATTAGAATTGAGAATTAGTGCCACCTCTTGTTCGCTTTTAAAGATTATTCTTTTAAGAGATTTCTTCGACATTCAAGAGACGGCGCACTCTATTTCTTATTCTATTATATTCATATTTCTCACTTCTTTTTTTATTCGTTATATATGTATTTCATTTGAGGCATTGATATAAATATTTTTATCCTATCTCCGTCTCCACTATTTTTCTCTCTTTGCTTTGCTAAATTTATGCACTTCAGAAACGATGAAAATCGATAATATAGGAAATGACGGAAATGATAAAAGAATTTGTGTATTCTTAAATTAAAACTACGATACAGTAGTACTAACATTTGGATAAAAATTGGTATTGGTATTCATATCACATTCGTTAATATTTTTAAAGATATTTTCTTTATTATTTCTTTAAATATAAATAAATCCGATAAATGAACATAGATAATAAATAAATAATTATACAATTATGGCTTTAATTTTCATTTTTACCGAGTAGAGACACAACGGTTTTTGAATCTATAAGTTTCTATAAAAAATTAACTATATTATTATATATAATAATATTAAAATGAAAGTGAAACCTACAATATATATTATAATATTTACCGGATTTGTCACGAGATCAACTATAATTGTTGCAGAATGAATAAATATAAATACAAGAATATTTTTAAAATTTTTGCACTTTATATATTTTTTGTTATTGTATTGTTATAAAATTTACTCACCTTTATATAGTGACATATGAATATTTAATTTTTTTTTTCTTTTTTTTTTTTTTTAGTTACAAAATTTTCCTTATCGACTAATTCATGATCATATTTATTGTAGTGATATGAAATTATTACAGCTATAAATTTATAATACAAACTTTACATCCTTTTGTTCAATTTTAATACCTGAATGGTGACTAAAGATTAGTTAAATCTAAGTAATAAAGATCAATCATGAAATTATAATCGTGAACCTTTTATAAATATCGCGTCATTATTATTGTTCAATTATAAATATTGTTTATAAGAAAATTTTGAATTATATATTTATTCGTGAATGTTACAACAATATTACATTACGCATACAATAAAAAGTATATAAAATAACATTTTTAAAATTTTTGTAGAAATATTATCAAATGAATCATTGAATTACAGCGATTGTTATTTATCTAAAATGCATTCTCATGATTCGTATTCCGTTATCGCTTCGATGATTTCAAACTGAAACTGATGAAATAGATTACGAGAGAGAGACAGAGAGAGAAGAAACTGATTTTTTCTTTCGTAATAATTTTATCATACAGTGAATCAATTATAATTATATGTTTATAAGAAATTTTATAGATTTTATCGATTGTGGCAACAGATAAATAAATTTTGCAAGTAAAGTAAAGAAATGTAAAATCTGTCACGTTTCATTCAAACGTAACATTTAAATATTTTTCCATTCAACTGAAAAATTATCATTCGATTGATGATATATTTGAAACGTATGTATAGAGCGCGAAAGAAAAGAAAAAGAAAAAAAAAATTAACAATAATCGAGATATACGATTTGATAAAAATTGGAGAAGAACGAAGGTTCGTTCCCATGGATCGATAAAATTCGATTGTCTTGGTCGAGGTTTGCGCGCGAGGGGGATGCTAAACAGCGCGGTTTGTTGCGCATCGACGCCTCGTCTTCGGTTGGAAACGTTTTCACTCATTCTCGAACGTTCCGAGTTCATATATAAACTCCAAAGAAATTTGAATAACAATGAAGAAAAGGACATTTTTTTAAAACGCTCGCGCGAAATCGTGGAACGAACGCTCCTAGTTGTACAGTGTTCAAGGTGAAAGCATTTCAGAGTGCGAGAGAGAAAGAAAGAGCGAGAGCGAGAGCGAGCGAGAGAGAGAGAGATAGATTGATAGATAGAGAAAGAGGGAGATAGATAGAAAGAGAAAGAGAGAGAGATAGAGAGAGAGAGAGAAAAAGTTGAAAAAAGATGTCGAGCGAGGAAGAAACGAAGGAAATCAGGGAGACGACGACGAAAGAAGGAAAGGAGACTGCCGAAGAGGATCTGCAGATATTCGAAACGCTTTGTATATCGTCGCCCGGAAAGGTCTTATCCGTTTGACCACAGATGCACCTTTTTTCTTTATTTTTTATTATCATCGAATCGCTATACGCACTACTATTGCTTTCTACATTATTTTACATTATTTCGACGTCCCAGTTTGTGATTAATGCACGAAAATTTTCTCTACGAGAAAGATAGAGATGGAGAAAGAAAACGAAATTTGCAAATTTTATTTTATTTCCTTCTCGATAGACGATTTACTTGGCGAGCAAATGCGTGTATTCGGCGTATTNNTTTTTTTTTTTTTTTTTTTTTTTTTTTTTTCGTGTACGTACTCTTCGAACGAGGAAAAACACGAATTTTTGACGAATTTATTCCTTTCGAAGGGGGGATCGAATTTTAATTAAACTCGTCGACGTACGATTCGATAAATAGAGAAATACACTTCACGTTACTTCGTTGTCAATGGCCTGCTCGATATGTACCTACATAACACTATTCGTGTCGCGTTTCTTAAACGTATTGACTGGCGCGTTGAAACAAGGGTTGGCTCGGTTGCCATAGCGTTGGCATAGAATCGATTCTACCTGTCGCCTTTATCAGTCGCCCTCTCCTTCGTCTACCCTCGTCCATCC